GGAGGATGAGAACAGTCAAAGAGTCACAAGACCTCAGAGACTGCAAGCTTGACGGCCCTGAGAGAAGGCCAGTTAGTCACCCCTCCAGCTACGTCAGCTGAGATCTCTGGCCCGGAGGCATCTAGTCTGTTACTTGAGCTCTAGAGAAGTTTTAAGATAATACTTTTAGGTAAGCTAGTCAGACACATACATACATTTTTTTTTAAATGTAAAGCTTAAAACAATGGACTTTAGTAAAAAAACAAGACATTTCTGTTCAGCTTTTAAGCACTTAGTAGGAGTTAAAAGCAATTAGGCTAATTAAAGTCTGTTTCGTTCCAATCCAATAAGTGCTCCTTTATTCAGTTCATTGTTCTTTATGATTTACATTAAGGCTTGTATGCATTTGGAAAAGGTCATATTTGCCATTTGCTTTGAGACTGATGGGTACCCACAGAGGATAGACCGCATGGGATGCTAGCAAGACACTGGGCTCCATGATGTGTCCTGGCAGTCATGCTGGGGTGGTGTTTGCCTTAGCCACCTTGGCCTCAGTTTTCTCATTTAATTTTTTAAAAAGTTATATGTGTGGATTTTTTGCCTGCATATGTGTCTGTGCCCCACATACATGCCTGGTGCCTGCAGAGGCCAGAAAAGGGCCTCTTACTTCAGAGACCCTCTCTTCAAGTCACTCAATAACTTTGCTTTCAGTGCTGGAGATCAAATCCAGAGCCTGGTGCGTGTTGGACACTTCCAGCCTCGTGTTCACTCTTTATAGCTCAACTTACACAATTGTGATGGGAAAGCTGGAGCCTCTACCTATCAGACAGCTGCCCTTTCCTTGTCTGCTCTGCCCCAAAGGGAACTGCATTCCCAGGCTCCCTGGCAGCAGTAGGCTTCTGGTGTGTGCAGGAAGACCATCAAAGGGACTAATGACAAGAGGTTAGAAAGTGTGAAGCAAGGAGAAGCTGGGGTGGTTTCTGGGCCCTCCTTTTGGCAGTGGCTGTGTGTGACAGTTCATCTTGATAGTAGACTTAGTGGGAAGATGCTGAGGATGTTAGTAAGACACATTTCTGGTTGTGTCTGTCTGTGAGAAACAAAGAACTAAGAGGAAACCTATTCTGAATCTGGACAGTACCATCTAGTAGGTTCTGGGACAAACAAGGAAAAAAACAAGACACCTGCCAGAATAGGTATGCTCGTTCTCTCTCTCTCTCTCTCTCTCTCTCTCTCTCTCTCTCTCTCTCTCTCCCTCCCTCCCTCTCTTTCTCTCTCTCTCTCCCTGTGAATCAAGATGCTTAGCTCTCAGCTACTACTCCAGCTCCATGCTTGTCTGTTTCCTGTCATGACAATCATACACTAACTCTCTAAAACTGTAAGTAAGCCTACAGTTAATGCTTTCTTTTATAAGAGTTGCCTTAGTCATGGTGTCTCTTCGCAGCAATAGAAGAGTGACTAAGACAATGGCCTGCTATATGGAGGCGTAATATCTGTTAACTGGTTTTACTCAGCAACAAAGGAGGAGATGTTATGTGAACTATTTTCTTTGGAGACATGAACAGATGTCTACTTACCGGAGACCAGGAACTTACCATAGACCAAAGAAACAATACAATCTAAATCCAACTTGGTGAATCTCAGGTTTTTAGGGTTATTTACAGGATTATGGATGAGGGGTTACTTACAGGAAACTGGATATCTCAAAGTCAACTGTATCCCAGCCTAGCACAGGTTACAACCCAGATACTGGAACCCTGGAGCCCTCTGCCTGATTTTTAAAGGTAGTTTGGCAGGTCAGAACTTCTCAACAGAACTTACTGCTTAGATAACTTTGCGGAGCAAGGGGCCTTATACATCTAGTAGGTTTCAGGGACTTCCTGAGGCTTGTGAGTTTTCTGGGTCTTAATAAGCCCTCCCATCACCACCACCTTTAGACTTCTGAATCTTACCAAGCTTCCCTCCTGGATGGAATGTTTCTATTCAGACAAAATTACTCTGTGACAGAGAATGTGGTGAATCCCTCAGCACACCATGTTCTAAATGGACAAAGCCAGAATTGTCTGTGTGCCTGCCAAGGTTCTGCAGGGTGCTGAAGTAGTACAGTCTGGACAAAGGTCCATTCTCCAAACTTAGGAAGGATGCACAGCAGGAACCCATGTTTTGAGGAAGACTTCCTGGTGACTGTCAAGTCTTGAAATGCCTGTTGTAAAGGACCATGTTGCTAAAGCTTTAGAAGCTAAAGCTTTGATTTTTAACAAAGAAAATCATACAATTATACATACATGCATATATATATATATATATATTATAAAGGTATGGAGTGCTAAGGAGTGCATGTATGTGTATGTGTGTGTGTGTGCGTGTGTGCATGTGTGTACTCGTGCACACATAACTCATTTGAAGCCTGTTCAAAAGTCCTCACTTAGCTGAAAGGAGACTCAGAGAGAGAGGAAGGAACTGTCTCACAAACAGACACAGCTGCAGAGGGGCTTGACCTGTGTTTGAACCAAGGGTGAGCCCAGAGTTCATGCTCTCCTCAGGTCAGGCTTGCACAGTGTGTGCTTTTGTCCACTAAGCCACCTTGCCAGCCTCTTCTTTTACTGTTCTTATTTCTATGATCAAACATCTGACAAGAAGCAACTTAAGGGAGGAAGGGCTTACCGTGGCTCCCTGTTTAGGAAGGAATGTGGCCTCTCACTCCAGGGAAGGCATGCTGGCAGGAGTATGAGGTCTCTTCATTACACTTGCAGTCGGGAGGTAGAGAGTGGACAGAAAGTAGGGATGGGCCATAAGACCTCAAGGTGTCCCTTGACTCAGTGACTCACTTTCCCTAGAGCCCTCAGCCTCAGTTCACCCCCCACTGGCCGTCAAAAAGTTAATCTTTTCTTCTCCATTTCAGTCAACATGGCCTGCAGGGCAGGGGTGACATATTCATGCCATGTTTGTTTTCAAATAGGGAAGCCAGTGGCTCTCCTTATCCTATCCACAGTGGGCACAGGAATGTATGGGTCACCCTGGTGCAAAGAACTTGCCTTAGCTTTGAAGTGGATCTGCCAATAGCACTCATTCAAGCCCAGTCACAACTTCTTTGAAAAGAATCCTCAGCCCCGTTCACTCCTTCACATTCTACATAAACTACGCATTCTGTGACTTATTGCCACGTGTGAGGAAACGTTTTCTGAGGTTGTTCCATTTGGAGTTTGAAGTCATGCTGCTTGCTGTTTGTCATTGAAAATAGTCTACCCACTAGGGGTATGTGTAGCCTGCTTCTAATCCACTCTGTGGGGCAAAAGTGTAGGGTGTAAGGGGTCCTGTGGTTCAAGGGTGGGCTCCATCATTAGAAGACTTTCTTTAAAAGGCTCTAAACATCTCTGAGCTTCATCTCCCCATACACTATTCACAGAGCCTTGGGGATTTACTAGTCTCTTAAATACTTTTTGTAGAATCTAGGATCAAAAAGTGAACAGATATTAAACTGTGTTCAGGACTGTTTTATAGCTGGTCCTCAAGCAGCTTCCATTACCTGATTCAGTCAGGTTTTCTTGAGACAAAGAGAGGGTCATTTGAGGCTGCACTGAGCAAGGATAAAGCTAAGAGAAAAAGTGGTTGGGGGATGAGGTCTCTGGGAAAGTTCTGGAGAAAGTAGGGCAAAAGGCATACCTCAGTCTTTTCTGTCAGCTGTGGTCCACACCAGGAGATGGGGCCTGGCTCTCCTTCAGAGGTTCAGTTGCCTCCAAAGCATCTCCCACTTTCTCACCAAAAGATATCTATCCCTTGGATGCACCACTCAGCCATCACAAGGCTCTGTCCCAGGTACTTTCCTGGCTTTCTTGTCTTAGGCACATGACATGGTTTCTGGGAAGGATAGCTTGCCAGGAGCCCCGCTGCACAGTTTGCCTGGCCAGGGTGTTCTTGAGTTAGATTGGCCGTAGGCCATATGGCTGGATTTCAGCCTTCTTGCCCATCCCCCAATTCCTGGATGCCTCAGATTCTGAGATCTGATCATTCAAGTTATGCTACAGTATGTAACCACCATGTTCTGCTCCTCTCAGGAGACGCTTGCCTTTTTTTTTTTTTTCTTTTTTTTCAGAAAGTGTCTACCTGTTGGTGGGACTCCAGGCTCTTTTGTAGAGGGATAAAAAAAAAAATGTTTTGGCCTTCAGGAATTGATGAATGCCATAGTTAAGCCCCATAGGTCTATCACCATTAATCAGCCTTTCCCCCCTCCCCCCCCACCCCAAGTATACCCTTCTGTGTCTAGCAGGAAAGCACAGTTTGGCATGGAGTATCAAGCTTAACACTCTCATAGCACCGTAAAGCTACAGAGGTACTGACCTACCGCTATGGTGCCTCTGCTCATCTGTTATTCCAAGGCAGTAACGTAGCACAAACACCAGATCTGAAGGAACTGAGTCCTCACCAGTGGCCAGGCTCCACACCAAGGGCATAGTGTGCGTTGACTCAAGTGTCACAGTGACCTACTGTCTTCTCCTCTTACAGAAGAGAGAAAACCAGGACAGAAGGGGCAAGTGACATGCCTGTGGTCATTTAACCAAGCAGTGATGTGGCAGAACTCGAACTCAGACTTCCTAGTGCATCACCTGTAGTATCTTGCACAGGTGGTGGGTGGGTGAGAAAGTGTCACTGGGCCAGTGTTCCATAATCCACTTCACAGCACAGGGCTGAAGTGCTGAGAACTAATAGCAGCTGACACTGTAGACTGCTGGGGTTTGGCTGGGAGTGGGGTAGGGTCAGTTCTATTCAGTGCGCTCAGGACAGGGTGTAAACCAGAAGGCAGATGAATTGTTATATAGACTGTTGGAGAAGGGATACATATCTCTCCTTAGGAATGTCTCCCAGAGGTGATGTTCACGAATCAGTAGTGCTGTCTAGCAGACATTCCTAATAACACCAACAAACCAGCCAGAGACAAACAAGCAAAATGGAACAAAGAACAACACAAGCCTGTCAGACTGCGGCCATCCGCCTGTAAGTGAGATGGAAATAAAAAATGGAAAGCATTTCAAAGGAAACACTGAGAGGACATTTTGTTTCTTTATTTAATAACAGGTTTGGGGGGAGGAGTAGGTTCCTTTTATACACTCTATTTTAAACCCAGGTAGGTGACCTAAGGGGGCTCTGTCAGGAAGCAGAGAGTCCCCGTGCTGCTTTCCAGAATGTGTAGAGAACTCTGTGTGTTTTCCAGGTTTCCCCTGCGCCCATCACTTCTTTTTGAACACTTGTCGACACACCTGGTCGCCACAGGTCAGCTCCTGCAAGTCAGAAAGTGGGTGAGTGCCAGCCGGCCTTCTTACTGCCCAGCACCTGGCCCTCTTACTGTCTGGCAGGTGGGTGAAAATAGAAGGAAGAGGACATTTAGCTGTTCTGGGCAAAGTGTCCCTCACAGACCCAATTGGCTGCCGTGCCCTGCAGGGTAGCAGTAATTTGATTTTGACACTCAAATTGAGCTTGAACGACTCTAAAAATGAAAAATGCAAAGTAATGACCCTCCTGGGCTGGATCTCTCCTACTCTGGTGATTAAAGCAACATGGGCTAACTTATGAAAAGGTGGCAAAGACAAGAGGAAGGAAAGGGTATCTTGGAGATGGATTAGGTGTCTAGCAGTGGCCCAACAACACGGTGGGAGCTTGTGAAGGGCTCCCCTTGGTATGCCTACGACGTAGCTGATGGGGTCCCACTTCTTACTGAGGTGGAGAGAACCTCAGGTCTTATCTGCATTTCACTGAACCCTGAAGGAAGAGGGTGAGTGAGCATGAGGAAGGCCACTGTGCTCATGCAGCTGATGATGACTCTGTTCTCAGCCACAACATCTCAGCCCAACATCTGTTGGGATGGCCCTAAAATTAAAAAAACAAATCCATCCTCTAAGCCACAGCAGGTAGGGAAAGTGGAAAACACTGGGAATGACACACATGTCATCAGCTGACAGGAGTAAAGATCTCAGGCAGAGTTAGCTTGGATCTGAAGGGCATCTTGGTGACATTCATGTTGACCTTCGAGCTGGGTAGCTGCCTGGCTCCACAGATGAATGAATGAATGAATGAATGAATGAATGAATGAATGAATGAATGAACAAGTGAATGAATGAATGAGGATGTATTTGCTGAATGAGCCATTCATTTAGCAAATGAGTAGCCGAATGTTTGAAAGAGTGAAACTTCTTTCACCATTCCATTGTGGGGCCCATAAATTGCTGTGAAGATTGAAGAATGAAAAATAAAGCTGTCTAGGCAGTGATAGTTTATTGACGGATGTCAGCCATTGTCCCTTCTGTTCTGTTCTAGTAACAAGTCAGCCTCATAGGAGTGGGATCAGGTCCACCATACCTTAGGGTGAGAGGCCACCCCTCATGCTGTCAGCCTCCCCCGCCCCACATCGCCCCCAGTAACTGACAGGATGCCTGGTCCTGACCTCCGCCAGACAGCTTAATTCCATGGCTCACCTTTCTCCCCAGCAGCTCCTTAGCCAGTTCTCTTCATTTCTCCTTGGATCTTGCTTTCCTAACTCAGCATTTTAAACTTTCTTTTTAATTGCAGCTATTCAGAGAAACAGCCATATAGATTTCTTCCTAGAGTCCCCTGTGCCAGATGGGAATGGCTTTCTGACTATACGTCCAAACGTATTTGGCTGGAGCTCAGGGCTATTTTTCTTGTCAAATCGCCTGGCCAGGTGAGTGCAGTAGAGACCCCAGGGCTTACCAGGTACAGCTTATCTCCCTCGACCCACTGCTTCCAGCCACGGTTCTCCTTCTCCCCTTTTTGCACACACACAAGGGTGTTGCCTTCCCAGGTGACTAGAGTCTGCAAAGACAGATACCAAGCAAGTCACACGGATGGCCTCAAGAGACCAAATAATCTTCAGCTTCAATTCCTGCAAGCTCTGCCATGCTCCTCCTTGCCCATGGGACAGAGTCCTGTTTGCATGGTCCCAAGGACCTTCCAGTCTTCGTCCCACATCTATCCTCCATTCCAGCCAGGCTGGTTTCTCCAGGCTGGATGCATTTGCTTTTGAGGAATTCGACTCAACCATTTTATTATATGGTAAAAATAGCACTTCGAGCTAGTAAAGGCAAAATGATGAATTCAACTATTAACTATGTGGAATTTCTGGAAGGGAAAAATGCCTCAAAGTCAACAGACAAATAACCAACAGAGAAAAAAGAGCTGTAGCATATCAGTAAAGACTTGATGTCCTTATATATAAAGAGCCTCTGTCAATCAATAAAAAGATCATTAACCTAACAGTCCATGCCAACCAAGCATAGGAATCAGGGGCTTACAGGGGGAACTCTTGTAGTAGATGACTTTTAAACATAAGAAATATTCTACTTCACAAATAGCAGCAGAGATGCTGATAAGACTACTTCTCAGATCCAATTAATCATATGGTCAAAGATCAAAGATTCAGTAACCAAGGGGAGTGCTGTGCATCCTCCCACAGGGATAATGGGAAGAGAAGTCTTTTGTGAGGACTATTTTATATTAGCTTTCAAAATATGAAATTACACATAGTTTTCCTTATGGTTTTGCTTTTATTACTTATTTTAAATAATTTTTAATTTATTATTTGAAAATTCTCTATTTCATATGCGTTTAGGTGTGTGTGTGTGTGCGTGCATGCATGCGTGTGTGTGTGTGTTTTAAGACAGGATTTCACATAGCCCCGGCTAGCTGTGAACTCATTGTGTACTGAGGATGACCGTGAACTCCTGGCCTTCCTGCCTGTGCCTCCCAGGGGCTGGGATTATCATCTCTGATGATACCGCATGTATTCTTTGACCCCAAGCTTCTATCCTGGGAATTTTCTTGCAGGGGTTACACTTTGAGCCTTGTCCACTGTATGTGAGGATAAATACAGGGAAGGTCCCCCATTTAACCAGGGAGCTGCTCACGTGATTCTAGGTAGGTCCTGTCACCTAGAACCTGCTTGTCTGCAGGTTTTCTCTGGGTTGCGATGCTAACCGTATAGTAGCGTAGGTACAGCAGCAGAACTCATGAATGCCATCCTCCATTTCAGACCAACCGAGCTGACCAGTAGATGGAGAAGCCACAGGCCCGCCAGTACCCAGGAGGCTGCAAGACCCCTGCACATACTTACAACTGCCTAGATACCCCTGTTTTCCACTTAGTAACTTGATGCCCAGATCAGGCTCACTCACTGCACCTGTCAATATATTTTTTTCATTCCCCACTGTGTCTGTGTCTTACTCCCTGTGAGCTTCACACAGCTGGGTTGTTGGTTTTTGTTTTTGCTTTCATGTATGCGCAAATCACCTGGCGCCTTTCTGAACAAAATTAGGCTGAGGACCTGACACTTGGCTCTTTTCTATGTCTTCTAAACCCTACTGATGATAAACTAACGTGTAGGGGTTTTTTTTTCCTTCTCTTTGAGCATTATAGAAACCTGATTTCCACAGATTGTTAAACCTACCTATTTCTAAAATAATATTTGACCTTGACCAAAATGTATGCTTTATGCACAGTGTTATTCCTCCCCGTTCCTCCTCAATGTATCACAGGATTGTTCATTACAGCAAAGGACTGGAAGCTTCCTAAAGTCTGTCAGTGGGTGGCTGGTTAAATACCGTATGACTCTTCCCGCTACACAGCCATAGGAAGAATACAACCAGAGCCGGTCGTTTAAATGCTTAAAAATGCAAGACGCTGAGCAGTGTGCATAAGGCAAGGGAACTGAGTGAGGGTGTATATGTATTCTTTTGCTTAGTCCCTGTCATTTGCAAGGAAGTAAAAGAAATCCTCAACAGTGATTATCCTGTGAAGAGACTGAGCTAGATCACCAAAGTGCAAAGAACATTTCACTGTTTACTGTTGTAAAAACAAAAACGAACCAAACAAAAAAAACTGTAGCCATCAATGTGGTCACAGTCCCCAAATCTAATTTTAAAATAAAATATTCTGTGCTTGGGCTGGAGAGATGGTTCAGTGGTTAAGAGCACTGGCTGGTCTTCCAAAGGACCTGGGTTCAAATTCTAGCACCCATATGGCAGCTCACAACTGTCTGTTACTGTCAGTTCCAAGGTATCTGGCACCCTTACACAAAAATACCTGAGGGCAAAAATACCAATGTAAATAAAATTAAAAAAGTATTCTGTGCTTTTTTTTTTTTTTAAAGAATAATGTCTCTTTCCCCTTCAAGGCCATCTGAAACCTTTTATCACTGAAGGACTTAGAGAATTTCTAGCCGTAGGTCTTCCAGCTCTTCTGGGAGGAAGAAGTGTCTGGAAAGGGCATCTGCTATTTCTCCTCATTGTCTTAGACCCCCGCTGCTTCCCTAGTAGATAGATAAGGATTCTTATCTTCTTCTTAGGTAAGGAATGTCTTCTCTTCTTCCTCCCATGCTGCATTGTACCGGAAGGCCCAGTGGACGCTGACTGCATTGATGCCTCCACTCACAGGCAGAGCTCAGGAAAGGAGAGGCTATTGGTGGCCGTGTGGCTGTTGGTGGCTGCTATGACACGGAGCACAGTGGCTGACACTGACCAGTGAGTCTGTGGTAGACAGTTTCCCTGAGGCAGAGTCTTGAGGGAAGCCCACCCACGTCCTGCCTTAGAGGAGGTCCCAGCTGAGTGCACACACGCCCTGTAAGGAGGACGTGCTGTAGACAGTATCTGTTTATTTCTCTATCTTCTGTATGAGACTGAGATCCTGGAGGACAGGAAAGAGGCTCCAACTCAGCGTGACACCTGTCTCACTGACCCGGGCTTGGCAGGCAGTAGGAACTTAGCAAAATTCGCAGAATACAGAAAGAAGGAAAATGCTAGTGCAAGGAGCCTGTCCTAATATTTCATTTTAATAACTCACACTGGGCAGCAAGACCCAAAGTTATTCTGACCCAAAAGTAAATTGGTTACCAATGAATCACGGTAATGGTTACACGATTTTGGGCTTATTCCTACATGAGACAGTGAGAAGCAGAGCTACAAGAATGGCTAAACGAACCAACTCCAAAGCTCACATTTCTTATTTAGTTAGTTGTATTCCTCCTCCTTTCCCTCTCCCTCCTCCCCCTTCTCTCGTTCCTCCTTCCCCTTCTCTCCCTCCTTCCCCTTCTCTCCCTCTTCCCCCTTCTCTCTCTCCTTCTCCCCCTCCTCTCCCTCCTCCCTATTCTCTCCCTCCTCCCTATTCTCTCCCTCCTTTTCCTCTTCCTCCTCCTCTTCCTCTTCCTCCTCCTCCTCCTCCTCCTCCTCCTCCTCCTCCTCCTCCTCCTCCTCTCCCCACCTGCCTCCTCCTCACTGTGTCATCCATGCTGGCCTGGAACCAGCTGTGTCTTTGTATTAGCTTTTCAGAGTGCTGGGGTTACAGCGTTTGCGATCATGACCAGCTTTTAGTTGCTGACCTCATCCCTGTGTCTGGAGAGGTTTTAAAAACAGACTCAAACTGTTTTTGAAAGATCCTGCAGCTAAGAAAGCCATAACTTTTGAATGAGAAAATGGACAGGGAGAGAGCTCCGGAAAGGGCAGGGTTTGGATAGAACGGAGGGAGGCAGAGGGTGGAGCCCGATTGTGACTTTGCCTTTCCCACTTCCAAAGCCAGAGTCTCTCAGAAAGGCTCTTTATGTCAAATGAGATACAGGTGCTCAGCGTTCAGTCTGTGAGAGTCAATAGCTGAAGCATAGACCTATAAAAGACTATTCTATTTCTTTAAAAATTGTTTTGAGATTATAATTATAGCATTTTCCTCTTCTCTTTCCACCTTTCAAAACTTCTCATGTACCCCTCTTCAAATTCATGGCCTCCTTTTCTTATAATTGTTGCTAGTGTGTGTGTGTGCGTGTGTACGTGTGTGCGTGTGTCTGTACACGTGCGGCACCTGTTTAACAATATGAATACAGTCTGCTCAGTCCACATAATGTTACTTGTATGTTTTCAGGGCTGACCATTGGGTAGCCAGTTGGTATCCTCTTCCTTGGGGAATACTGAGAGCACAGTATTCCTTAGTTGCCTGGACCAGTTTTCATAGTACCAAAAAGTGCAATGCAATCTTCCAAAAGGGGGAAGCACCCAATAGTCTTACCCAGTTATGGCATCTTTGAACCACAATGACAACCCTCGTGGGATGATAACCTGTGAGTGCAGTAGTGGCACACACACTTTGTCTGTAACCAACAGCTCTCAAATTAAACTTCAGGCCCTCTCAACAAGAGGACAATCATGCATTGTACTGGATATCAAGCCAGCTACAAAGGGAAAGTGAAGTTGTGAATCTTGGAAGAGAACCAATATCTTAATTCTTCAGAAGTAAAATTATTTGCAGGTTGTGTCATATTGTTCAGTGTGCATGTGTGTGTGTATGTGTGTGTGTGTGTGTGTGTGTGTGTGTGTGTGAGAGAGAGAGAGAGAGAGAGAGAGAGAGAGAGAGAGAGAGAGAGAAACAGAGATCATGGGAACATAATAAAAATCACAAGGGGCATCTAGAGAGATGGCTCAGAGGTTAAGAGCACTGACTGCTCTTCCAGAGGTCCTGAGTTCAATTCCCAGTAACCCCACATGGTGGCTCACAACTATCTGTAATGGGATCTGATGCCCTCTTCTGGTGTGTCCAAAGACAGTGACAGTGTACTCATATAAATAAAATGAATAAATTTTTAAAAATCACAAGGGGAAAACATTAATAATATGCAACTGTTTTTAAAACATTATTATCATATCTATGTGTACCAAACATATGCAGATATCTGTGGAGACGGAGAACATCAGATTCCTTGAAAGTAGAGTTACAGGTGGTTGCATGCTGTCTGATATAGGTGCCCAGAACTGAACCTGAGTCCTCTGCAGGAGGAG